CTCCTTGGAGGCAAGGATTCTGAGACTTTGTCTGACATACTTTGGTCATGTTGTAAGGAGAGACCGGTCCTTGGAGAAAGACATCATGCTTGGGAGGGTGGAGGGACAGTGCAGGAGAGGAAGGCCTTCTAGGAGATGGATTGATTCGGTGACTGGGGCAGTCGGGATGAGTGTGTCTGGGACATTGAGACTGGCACAGGACAGAGTTTAGAGCTGTCGTACATAGGGTCGCTATGAGTCGCAAGCAACTCGACGGCACAACAACAACATCATCACTGCTTTTATGATTCACCCTTTTTTCCAATTTTTGAGAGCTTGATTATGTGTCTGGGTATAGATTTTTAGATTCTTGTTTTTCATCAGATTGGGTAAATTTTCTGTAATTTCCTTGAATATTCCCTTTCTCCCGGTCATCTTCTTCTGGAATTCTTAAGATGGGTATATTAGAAGTCTTGATATCATCCCATAATTCAATTAAATGGTGCCCAGTGACTTAGTTGTAACAGGGTGCACTGCCAACCCAAAGACAGGCAGTTCAAATCTACCAGCTACTCTACGGGAGAAAGATGGGAAATCTTCATGAGATTTACTTCTTTTGAAATCCTGCTGGAGGGTCAAGTATGTGTTAGTTCTGACTCAACAACAACGTCTTCTTGAACTTCCATTCTTATTCATCTTTGAAATATTTTTAATATTTCATCCTCTAATTTTTTTCTCGTGCTTTATTAGATATTATTAGATTTATTAGTTAATTCCTCCCACTGTGCTTGTCATTTCAGTAACTATCCTTTTCAGCTGCAATCTCTTTTTTCAAGATTTTCATTTATTTTCCTCTTTCAAAATTCAAGAACAAACAAGCTAGTGAAGCTGTTGCATCTTTATACCTCAGTCCCAGGAATATCACTAGGTGGGTAACTTCAAGGAAAATCAAGTAACGTATCAGGGCCTCATTTTCCTTAGTTAATGATAAAGACGAAAGTAGACTGCATTAGAAGACCCTTAATCAGATGTATTTGCACAGGAATGGTAGTACTGGGTTCAAGTATATGAGAGATGAGGGCAGGGCAGGGTAGGGCTCAGATCTGTTGTTTATGGGTCATTATGAGTTGAAGTCACATCGATGGCACCTAACAGACCACCTGAAGAGAGCTCTAGCTTCTGGTCAGAAGTTGTGTTGCTAACACAAAGGGAGTGGCTCTCTGACAGACCGAACACACCAGAAGTTTCATGGGAGAGAGATAAGCAATCTCCTCCCGGTGATTTACAGCCTCAGAGTACCTGCTGGCAGGTCAGCCATGAGTAGTTTCCAACTCAACACAATGAGTGACAACACGTGGAGCTCTGGTGTCAGAGTCTGGACAGTACTGTGTGAAAAAGATGGGCAAACTCCTCCCATGTAATTTTCAGACCCAGAAACTCAAAAGAGGGTCTGCTCTGAGTTGGTTCAGACGTGATGGTAATGAGAGACAATGTGAGAAACTAACATGTTTCCCCTTGGATTAAATTTCTGTGATCTTATCCTTCAAGTTTGAGCTCACCTACATGCTTATTTTCCCCTGAGAGTTGTATTCATTCTAGCTAAAAGAGAACCTGCTCTCCTGTATAATTAAATTTGTACCTATTATAGTTTTATAATATTGGCATGTGCAGTCAAAATGGCTTTGTAATCCTTACAGTGATTCTGCGCAGTAATCTGTCTTCAGCAGTAACTGAATAAACATGAAGTAAATCTTAGACAAATAGTTACCGGGGGAATTGTTGAGCAGCTTACAATACTGCCTGCAGAAGTGACACTCAGAGTTCTTGTTCTGCATGGATTAGTATCTCCTATATTTTCTTCATCTCTAAATAAAAAAACAAAAAACCAAGAACCTAGTTAATCTTTTTAGAATTAGTTATGCTTAACTGAATTAATTTACAGAATTCCCTGCCAATAAAACTCAGAAGTATTAATATATTTAAAATTTCTGTGAATGTGAAAATATCTAGTCTTCTCCCCTTTGTTCACAGACTTCAAACGCTGTGCCTCTCACAGTACCAATCTCTAAGCTATTTTCTTGCCTCCTTCCCAAATAACTGGAGAGTGTAATGGGAACAAAGATTCCACAGAGTCTGGTCTGTTTTCATTAATTTTATATGTTTATGATTAAAATTGTACTAGTGTTAAGCCTCAAGATACAGAGCTTCATGGAAAAAGGGACAAAATTCTCAGGCTTTATTTCACAAAAATTAAAGTAAAAAAAAAAAAATAGCCCTAGATAGAAGTAAACCAAACATGGAATGAGAAAGCCTAATAAATATACTGCTGATCTATCTCAAATGAAGTAAAATTAATCAATCAAATGAATCAGAATTGTTGATCTCAAATTATAAATTAAATGTCAGATATTTTGTTAATCTAAGATATTTAAATCTAAATAGTGTTAATCTAAGATTTTTTTTTTGCTATGGGCAAAATATTTTTCCACTGGTTTGCTTACAAAGTTTATATACATTGTGTTTCATACAATCACTCTCATGCATTATGTTTTAAATTTTTTGCTAATTTTCTGTAAGAAAAAAAATTCTTAAAAGCAATTCTTAAAATTTCAAATATTCTTAAAACATCATGCCATTACATAATTTTAACTGTACATTAGAACCTAAGGGTATATTAGGGCTTCAAACCAACTTAAACTGGTTTACCCATTGCTGGTGAAAGCAGAACAAACCTGAATTTTAAACATATGGTGCTTTGCTGATCCTCTCTGAGTAGGGCAACGCTGTTTAATCCAACAGATGAGTGACTTAGTTACTATGCTCTATGTGTGTTGCCCTTGCTTTCTAAGAAAGGATTCATCTATAATTTTTCCCCATTCTAGATCACCCAATTTTATAAATCCCAATTTTGTTCTGAAGCCAAGGTGATGTTTGAAGCCCTGTGTTCAATGTACCAGAGAAAATTCATTGTAAGTATTTCACATAGGGAACATACTCACTGTGTGTCTGTTGACCTATTTATACGTCATGACCTATAAATAAGATTATTAAAACATGCAAAACAACTAATCCATCCGAAAACCTTATTAGTTATCAAAGGGGCTATATAGTCTTTATAAACCTGCAGTTTAGATTTAGTTAGAATAATTGTCCATAATTTAATCAGTCTGTTAAGAATTACTGACTGTATAGGAGGAATTTAAACAACAAAAAGGTTATTTGCTTTCATTTTACACAATGGTGGCTGAATACAAAGCTGTCACATCATCTGAAAAAATACTATTTGCCAGAACTGAGAAAAAGACCAATTTCAAGATTAAAGGGGTGGGGGTGGGAGATCCATAAACAGATATCTATACCTGAAAAGCCTGAATTCTTGGTTCAATGATGACAAGGTTTTCAGAGGAGGGCATTCATCTTCATACTCCTCAGAGCCAAGGATGCCACCGTGATCAGCAGGACTATCTTGTCTAGTGTCATTTTCACATCTGTTTCTGTCTTCAGAAAACTCAGTCACAGGACTGTTTTCACCAACCTGCCCTTTGATTTCATGTATAGCTTGATTGAGTTCAGTCATTTCGAAACCATGTGCGCCCGTACTCTCCTCCGACTGACCGCCTGGCTTTACATGGCTGAGGTTTCCAGGTGATCCGCAGCCGCCACCATCTGACTCACCTGCAGTATTTTCTTCACTCTCATTTTCTGGCTCACAAACCTTCACTTTTAATGAATCCTCTTCATCAGAAAATGAGAATTCAGATCCTCCTTCTGTTTCAATATTTTTATCATCTGGACCTAAAGGATGAAGCAGTTCATCATCTGCCTGCATTTCCTTTGTGTAGCCACTGGCAGAGACCTCGACATCAAGAGAGTTCTCCCTACTGAAGGAAAAAGGAATTTCAAGCATTTAAAGAAGGAAGGGGAGGATACTAGACATGGATGAGTATTTAATATAAATTAAGATTTTCAAATAAATATAATTGTGTGTGTGTGTGTGTGTATAAATAGGCTATTTCTTTGCCTAAAGGTACCTATGGAGTTCAACAATCAAAATGACTTTCCTAGCCATTGAATTTGACTCTGCCATGTGAAGGAGTGGGACTATGTGAATAGAGCATGTTAGCCCATCTACAAAGGAATTCACTAGTCTCATCAATCCATGAGGAGACTGGCTAGTCTTACCATAAAATTGAATGGATCCAGGATAGTGTCTCACCACAAGCAAAGGAGAAGTAGGCATGCAGTGGACACCCTTGAGGACCAGACATTCTTGCACCAGCTAGACTTGATAACAACAGCAGCCATGGCTGAAGCACAAAACCAGAGAGCCAACATGAGATGACGCTTACTTTGGAATTGCTACCGCCTACGAATAGAACCAGAGCTAAGCGAAGAGCCTTTGCCCAAGTTTGCTGGATAACTTGAGGGACAGGGGAGAGAAGTGGAGAGAGAGCCAATATTGGGAGAACTGAGAAGACTGGACTTAAGTCATGAGGCTTATGTGCCTGTGAGCACATTTTGCAAGCTGTCCTGATTGTATTCTGCTACTAACATGGACTATAAGCTTTTAATTTCCCCAGTATTGTTCTGTGTGGCCTGTGAGCTACTACATTGGATTTTGGACCCAGTAAACAAGAGGAGCAAAAGGAGGTATGGGAGAGTGGGGTACATGTCTGACCTCACGATAATTGGTTTTGTGTTGTTGATGCTGTTGGCAGGGACGGCTTCCCTTTGTGACGTTGGTAAAAGTCAGATATGGCTGTCTCCATGCAGCCCTTGCTCTTTTTACAATAATATTTAAAGTATACAAATGTAAACAATCAGTGTTGGCAATCATTTTAAGCATATGTCTTAGGTAAAGAAAATGTGCTTGACAATTTTGTACTTGGCATCAATTACAATACCTGCTACTGTGAATTATAAAAACATAAACAAAACACAACCAAAAAACTTTTTATAAAATAGAATTGAGTTATAGTCTTCACCCAAACTCATTAACATTTTTTAAGAGACTAAAAGCATATTGGTTTGAGTTTTTTTAATTAATAAGTTTTTCGGTGAAAGGTTAACTCTTAGAACAAAATCAGATTCTTTGTACATAGTCCCCTCAATTTTAGGTTAGCAGTGCAACCATGCTGACCATGTCACCAGAGCATCAGTCCAACCACTTGTAAACAATGCAGAATACACACCTGATATCATGAAAAGTTGGATAAAGCTCACTTTCATAGTTGAAACGTTTGATGAAGAAATCTCTAATGCATTTAACATCTCTGTCAAAATACCTGCAAAAAGAATAACTTTTAAATACAGCCTTTTTTGCTTACCATTTTCCTTCCTGCCCAATGAAACACACGCATTATCTGCTATGATAATCCTCTATCTTGCACGAAGAAGAAAGGGTGTTATTGAAAAAGAAAACAAAGATGCAAATCAGTTGTATTGTTTTTTAAAAAAATCTGTAACTAAAATGAAACAAAATCATAAATAACATATACAGGTGTAGAGTTAAACAGGTCCTATGCATCAGAAACCTGGACGATGACTAAGGATGACAAAAGGAGAACTGATGCCTTTGAGTTGTCATGTTAGAGAAGAGTGTTGAATATACCCTGGACTGCTAGGAGAACAAACAGGTTCATCCTAAGGAGGGTGAGACCAGGCTGCTCCTTGGAGGCAAAGATTCTGAAGCTTCGTCTAACATACTTTCGACATGTTGCAAGGAGGGACCAGTCCTTGGAGAGGGACATCATGCTTGGGAGGGTGGAAGGACAGTGCAGGAGAGGAAGACCCTCAATGAGATGGATTGATACAGTGACTGGGGAAATGGGGATAGGTGTGTCAGAGACAGTAAGATTGGCAAGGGATAGAATAGGGTTTAGGGTTGTTGTACATAGGGTCACTATGAGTTGCAGGTAACTCAATGGCACTTAACAACATTGATGACAGAAACTCAAGGTTTTCTCAAGAAGTAATTCACTAAGGGAATAAAGAAAAATGAGAACTTCAGGCAAGAGAAGGGCTATGGTTCCCACCTAGCCTCTTGAATGGCAGTCTGGTTGTTACTTCTCATCAGCAATACCCACTAGAACCTCTAACCAATTAGGAGAGCTAGACTATGTTTTAAAAAGAAAGAAATTTGGTGTGAAAAACATGTATTCAAATTTTAGAAATACAGTAGTATAAAAAAATGTAAAATAGAATGTGTATGAATGATTGTATGAAACATAATGTAACTGAAAGATTGTATAAAATAATGTATAGAAATGAAAACTACTACAAAGGTATTATTATATGAAAATAAAGAATAACTATTTAAAAAAATATTTTTTTGAAAAAGAAAGTAATGATTCATAAGGAAAAGTTTGGGGACTAATGAATCATTTTATAACTGTGTCGCTATTTATTATTGATAGGCAATTTGTTATTGTTTTTGCTATGTGCTGTCAAGCTGCCTGAGACTCATAGTGACCCTACATATAATAGCTCTAAAGCCTGCCCTGTCCAGAGCCAGTCTCACTGACTCCAACACACCTACCCCTTTTGCCCTAGTTACTGTATCAACCCATCTCATCCAAAGTCTTTCACTCCTGTGCTGTCCCTCCACCCTTGTGAGCATGCTGTCCTTCTCCAAGGATCAGTCCTTCCTAGCCACACGCCCAAAGTATGTGAGATAGAACTTCAAAATCCTAGTCTCCAAGGAGAAACTTGGTTTCACCATCTCTAAGATAAATCTATTTGTTTTCTTGGCAGTCCATAGTATGTTCAAGACTCTTCTCCAGCACCACAACTCAAAGGTATCAATTCTTCTTCTGTCATCCTTAGTCACTCTCCTGCTCTGATGCATAGCAAGTAACTGCGAAGACCATGTCCTGGATCAAATGTACCTTGGTCTCTAGATTGACACAGGTACTTCTTGGTAATCTGGAAAGGTCCCTGACAGCAGATTTATACCCAGAATAATTAAATAACGCTGTGGTTTACAAATGATGATCTGAAGACATATATTAATCTGAACTAAGAGTTGGTATCAGGTTAATTTTTTAGGTCACCATGAAGCAGTAGGGACTGATTTGGTTTTCTAAAAGAGTCCTAGATAAGGGAGAATTAAGGCTAACGTGACATAGAATTGACTACCCACTTCACTGTTACCTGATTTTTATAGAAAAAGATGATGTTTAAAAGATGATGTTTAGAGATTGGAAGCAGTATTACTATTTGTTGTTCTTAGGAAATCCTCAGAGGGGGGAACCTTTTAATACATTAATTAATTAAAATTAATTTCCTTATATTTCCCTCTTAGACTATAAAACTGGCACAACTTTCCATCCAGTGCTTCTCCAAACATTTTCAAATTAAATCACAATGTCACCCATAGAACAATAGCAGGTGTTAGTCTGTCATCATTCTTTTCTCTAATGTTGGTGGTTCCCAGATGTTCCTTATTGTACAACTATGTTACTCTACATGAATTAAGAACAAGGACACACAGATATCAGACAATGACAGACTTGATCGCTCATGTGCCAGACATTGCCAAGCAAACCTAAAAGAATTCATTGCTTTGTTGAGAAGCCGGACAGTATGAAGAAGAACATGGCATCAGGTTTGGAAGAAGAGTCTCCAATAAGCTGAGATATACAGACAACAAAGCCTTGCTTGCTCAAAGTGAACGGGACTTGAATTGTTGAGACCAATAGCTACAGCCTTCTAATGGGAAAAAAATCCTCACAATTGCCCCCATAAGCAGCATCACAGCAAATGGAGAAAAATTTAGGTTGTGAAGGATTACATTTTATTTGGATCCATCATCAATGCCTATGGAACCAGCAGCCAAGAAATCAAAGGATATGTACTATATTGGAAAAATCTGTTACAAAAGACCTCTTTAAAGTGTTAAAAAGCAGAAGTTTCGCTTTGAGAACTACGGGGTGCCTGACAACTCAAGGTGTTTTCAATTGTTTTATATGCATGTGAAAGTTGGATCATGAATAAGGAAGGTCAAAGAAAAAAAATGCCTTTGACTTTTTATACTGGTGAAGTTATTAAATGTAGCATCAACTGCCAGAAGAATGAATAATGTCTTGTTAGTTGGGGTGTCCGAATTTTCGAAAATTGGCTTTTCCAGCTACTGTGTTAGCCCACACTGGGGCGAGGGCGGGGGTGGGGTGGGTTGGGTGTGATGGTCTCCAACTACCTTAACTGCAGACATAAGTTCTTGTAAATCATCAAGAGAGTGCTTTCAACACTGTGAGGAATGGTGGTGGAGAGAGGGTTAATAGACTGTGGCACTGCTATGAAGTAACTGTGGGAAAATGTAACAAGAGGAACCTTGGAAACAGAGTCACAGTTGAAGGTTTTGCTTGTAATTTGCTTGAAATTTTTCTGAGATAAAGTTTGCTAGACTGAGTGAGGAAAATGGAGGTTTATTTGTGCTGCTAAACTGAACTTAAGACTTTCACTTATTGACTGAGAAGTTGTTAGAATTAACTAAGGAATTGTGCCCTTTTAATCTGGCTTCAACTAAACCTAGACTTACACTGTATGGCATTCTTTGCCTCATCACTCCCAGCCTATTTTCCTAATAAACTCTTTGAACATGTATCTGACTATGTAGTTATTTGCAGGATACTATGGATATTATTGATGAGAAAAGTTCCCCTTTATGAAGCAAGCAGAAGTGAGACTTGGCCACCCCCACAATGCATCTGCTCTTTTTACAAAAGCGTAGGCAGAAAGTTTCTTGGAAGCAAAGATGATGAGACTTAAAGAACTCTTCACATGCTATTAGGAGTAACCAATCCCTGGAGGTTACCATGCCTGGAAGAGTAGAAGGTCTGTGAAAAAGAAAAAGATCCTCCATGAGATAGTCTGACACAGTGGCTGCAACAAGGGGCTCAGACATAGAATGTGAAGATGGTATAATACCAGGTAATATTTGGTTCTGCTGTACAAAGGGTCATCATGAATTGGAACTTATTCAATAGCACGTAAGAACAATAATAACACCCATAAATACATTAACAATTAGAATAAATAATTTTAGCACATACCATTCAGCATTGGGATGAGAAGTTGAAACCATCTGTGGAAAATCAATCATGGTGATGTGGTCATCTTTATCCAAAATGAGATTAAATTCATTAAAATCTCCATGAATCAGACCATGATTTCCAAGTTTGACAATTAATTCCATTGCTTCGTTATATACTGATGCAGGATCTTCAACTTGGTGTATCTGACATCTGAAAGTTTGTACATTTGTGAGTTTCTAGTATTGTGGTGGCTTGTCTGCTGCTGTAATGCTGAAGCTAAACCTAACGGTTACCCACATTGGATAGCTTTCACTGCATCTTTCTAAAATAGACCACAAATGAGTATCTAGTTACCTAAGTCTGAAAAAAATTAGCCAGTAAAACCTTATGGACAGAAAGAATGGATTAAAATTAGAAGAGATGTGTGTTAGCATTGTATCTTTTAGTATACTTATGCTTACTATACTTAACGCAATTGTATGCCAAGCAAATAATTTAGGAATTTATGACTATATGAAGAAGAATATGATATCATATTTGGGGGAGATCTCAACTGAAGACTAAAGACAACAACTTTAAGTATGATCTACACTTAAACATATAGAAAACTTAAGTCTTCACAATTAGACTAATAAAGTAGCATAATTAATTGTAAAAAACACTGAAATTGTAAAATTTTTTATTCTTACTTAGATCCAGAATCAACACTGAAAGAAGCAGCACTTAAAAAAAATTACACAATGCATTAGGTAACAAAGATGCTACTCTTTGAACACTAAAGTGCACCTGACCCAGGCCAAAGAAGAAGCTGAATAGATATCAAAGAGCAGCTGGGGAAGACAAAGCCAACTATTATAATGAAATGTGCAAGGAGTCAGAGTCAGAAAATCAAAAAGTCCCAAGTAGCTCAGCATTTCTGAAACTAAAGGAACTAAAGAACAAATTCAAGCTGTGAGTTGCAATACTAAGGATGCTGTAAGCAGAATACTGAATAACTCAGGAACCAATAAAAGATGGACGGAGTACACATAGTCACTGTATCAAAAAGAATAGGGTGACACAAAAGAATTTCAAGAAACAACACATGAGCAAGAGGCAATGATGATGATGAAGGAAGTTCAGGCTGCTCTGAAAGACTTGGCAAAAAAGAAAGCACCAGGAATTTATGAAATATCAACTGGCATATTTAAACAAATAGCTGCTGCCCTGGACGTGCTCACTAGGTTGTGCCAAGAAATCTGGAGGACAACTACCTGGTCAACTGACTGGACATTCTCAAAAATGGTGACCCGACAGAGTTTGGAAAGTATTGAACAATATCACTAATATCATACACAAGCAATATCCTGCTGAAGATTATCTAGAAACGACTGGTACAATACACTGGCAGAGAACTACCAGAAATACAAGCTGGATTTAGAAGAGGTCATGGCACTAGAGACATTATTGCCAATGCCAGATGGATCCTGGCAGAAAACAAAGAGTAGCAGTGGAATGTCTGTCTGTGTTTCATTGACTATGCACAGACATTTGACTGTGTAGATCACAACAAATTGTGGCTAACCTTGAAGAGAATGGGAATCCCAGGACTACTGATTGAGCTCATGCAAAACCTATACTTGGACCAAGAAGCAGTCCTCAAAAGAGAGCAAGGAAACAATGCATGGTTCAAAATCAGAATAGGAGTGCATCAGTGTGTCCTGTCTGCATACCTTTTCAATTTATATGCAGAAAAGATAATTTGGGAGGCTGGAATTTATGGGAGGAATGTGGCATCAGGATTAGAGGAAGACTCATCGACAACCCATATTTTGCAGATGACACAACCTTGCTTGCTGAAACTGAGGAAGACTTTAAACATTTGCTGCAGAAGGTCAAGGACAGTAGTCTTCAATATGGATTGAAGCAGTACATCAAAAAACAAAGATTTTGTTTACCACTGGGCCAACTGGAAGTACCATGGTAGATGGAGAAGAGATTGAGGTTGTTAACAATTACAGCTTGTTCAGCTCCACGATCAATTCTCCTGGCATCAGAAGTCAAGAAATCAAAAGTTAAATTGCACTGGGAAAATCCACTGTCAAGGACCTCTCCTGATTATTGAGACGCAATGATGTCATTCTAGAGACTAAGGTGCGACTAATCCAGGCCATGGTCTTTGTAATTACTTGCTATGCATCTGAGAGCTGGATAAAGACTAAGGATAAAACAAGAAACATAGATGCCTTGGAGTTGTAGTGCTAGAGAAGAGTCCTGAACATACCACAGACTGCCAAGAAAACAAGTAAGTCTGTCTTGGAGAGGGTGAAACTAAGTTTCACCTTGGAGGCTAGGATTTTGAAGCTCCATCTCACATACTTTGGGCATTTGGCCGGGAGGGAACAGTTCTTGGAGAAGGACATTATACTTGGAAGGATGGAGGGACAGCTCAGGAAAGGAACACCCTGGATGAGATGGATTGATACACTATCTGGGGCAATGGGGACGGGTGTGTTGGGCTAAATGAGACGCTCAGGAAGGGGTAGGCTGTATGTAGGCAGAGTTGTACACAGGGTTGCTACGAGTTTCAAGCAAATCGACGGCATATAAAAACAACATAATAAACCTTTACTTCCCTCCTCTTTGAGTGTTTGGGGTCAACTTCCTCCCTCTTCTTTGCCTCTGCTGCCACCTAGCTCCATGTACAGTCGACATCATGGGCTTCAGAGACCTCAAGACCACCGCTGGCCTCCAGGTCCTCAATGACTACCTGACCAACAAGAGCTACATCGAGGGTATGTGCCATCTCAAGCAGATGTGGCAGTGTTTGAAACCATCTCCAGCCCTCCACCTGCCGACCTGTGTCATGACCTACGTTGGTATAAACACATCAAGTCTCATGAGAAGGAAAAGGCCTGCCAGCCAGAAGTGAAGAAAGCTTTGGGCAAGTATGGCCCTGCTAATGTGGAAGATGCCACAGGAAGTGGAGCTGCAGACAGTAAAGATGACAGTGACACTGATCTGTTTGGATCTGAGGAGGAGGAGGAAAGTGAGGAAGCAAAGACTTGCACAGTATGAATCAAAAAAGCCAAAAAACCTGCACAAACTTGTTGCCAAATCTTCAATCTTACTAGACGTGGAGCCCTGGAATGATGAAATGACATGGCAACACCAGAAGAATGTGTCAGAAGTGTTCAGGTAGGCGGCTTGGTCTGGGGCTCTTCCGAGCTAGTACCAGTGAGGTATGGAATTAAGAAGCCTCAGATACAGTGTGTGGTTGAAGATGATAAAGTTGGCAATGATATGCTGGAAGAACAGATAACTGCTTTTGAAGAGTATGTGCAGTTCATGGATGTGCTGCGTTTACAAAATCTAAAGTCCATTTGTATCCATCAAAACAAACAAACAAAAACAACACAAACATGCATAAGCTGACCAATAAGTAAAGAAGGCCAAAGAAAAATTGATGCCTTTGGATATAAAGACTGAATACCATGAACTTCTTGAAAAAAATGAGCCAAGTTTTCTTGGACAAAGTACAGCCAGAATATTCCTCAGAAGTGGGGATGGTGAGACTTCATCTCATATACTTTGGACATACTGGAGGGGACTAGTATCTGGAGAAGAATAAACGGAAAAACCTCAATGAAATGGACCACGTGGCTGCAATAATATAATCCAAGATAATAGCCATTCAGAGGATGGTACGGGGGCAGGAAGTGTTTCATTTTATAGAGTTCGCATATATACTTTAACACGGGGTTGCTAGAAATCAGACAAGATTCACATGCACGTAGCATGATCTAAATGAAAGGATGAGTGTGTGAGAGAGGGGAAAGAAAAATATAAAACTTACAGAGAGTATAAAGAAAAGGAAAATTTACCATTAAATTATTATTTTGAGAGCAAAAACTCATAAATGTTTAAACAGGCAGTAAAAGAAAAAAAAATATGTACTCTTAAAAGGGCAAAGATTGAGTTCATCAAAATAGCTATCTAAAAAATTTTCAGCATAGAGCATACGTAAAACACACTCATCACATTTACTGATGTTCTCTCAAGCAGGACCATTTGTTAGCAGGACAAAATACCAGTTATATGTGAAACTATTAAGTATTTGGCTAGGTTCATCTCCAGTAACATCTAAATTTATAATCCACTCCACCCCCAAATAAAATATACTATGAAAAGGAAATACATGTTTTTGTTTTGTGTACTGTTGAGTCAGAACTGACCCGCAGGCACCCCTCAAGTGGGTTTTCAGAGGCAGCTGATCCCACTGAATGAGACTGCCCATCCTCCTGCAGAGCATCTGGTGGATTAGAACCATGTGCCTTTGGTATGGCAGCACAGCTCCTTATTACTAGGCCACCAGAGCTCCCTAAGTATTCTTAGGTGAAAAAAAAAATCTTAAATTTCTTGAAAAGTTACCAAAACAAAAACATTTGCTTTAAGCCTCCAATACATTCATTCACCCATTGCTGTCAAATCAGAACCAATTTACAGTTTACCCTCCATGGGTTTCTCACGCTGTACATCACATGAGAGATTATTCATCTCTCTCCTGAGGAGCTGCTGGTGGATTCAAACAGTCAGAATACAGCTTCTGGGTTAGGAGTACAACTCCCTCCAGCCTGTATCACCAGAGCTTTGTATACTAGAGGAATAATCTTTGGTCCTGAAGTTAAATGCTCACCAAACCCCAGGCAATACATACTAATTTCTCTCACCATCATCTTCTTACAAATATTGTTATCAATGGTACACTATCATTTTCTCATAGAAGCTTTTTATCAGTAACTACCTTCCTCTAGCACAGCTTACTGTTCATTCCCGTGAATACACAAACATAATATTTCATTCATCTATTAAAAATAAAGGCCTGCCTTTGTTCTACATACTCTTTATAGTTACAGGGTACCATAAAGTGAATTCTAACCCTTAATAACCCCACCTGGCAGAGGAGAACTGTCCCAAAAGCTTTTCTTGGCTTTAATCTTTATGGAAGCAAAACACCAGATCTTTCCCCCACAGAACTGCTGCGTGGATCTGAACCACCAACCTTTTGGTTAGCAGCTGAGTACTTAACCATTGCACCATCAAGGCTCCTTCTTTTATTTGGATCTTCTTTACAGTAATAACTGTCCACATATGCTTCCTCCAATGTCTTTTCTCAAAACAGTTGGCAAACCCATTTCTGAGTGGCTTTTCTACCTACCTCACTCTAGTGAAATAGTTCTGTTTATGGCTAGCAACACTGTCATATTGCCAAGTTCAATGGTCAAATCTCAGTCTTCAATGTACTGTTAGTCAGCTATGATTTTCCATTACTTTGCTGAAATGCCTTTTTCTAACTGACTCTTGTTACATTACACTCATCTGGTTTTCCTTTTTGTCACTGGCCACAATATGCTATATAGCTCTTTGGCTAATTCTTCATTTTTTTCCCTGAACTTTAAAATTTAAAGTTCCTCAAAGTTCAAACCAAAGCCCTGGACCTCTTGTCTTCTCTTACTTGAAATTGCTCTTGGTCACAACCAGGCTCACAGCCTTAAATACCAAACATATATCAATTTCTAGTGTGACTTCGGAATATCCCCACACTCCTAGGCATCTCAACTTACAAAGTCCAAATACGAGTAACTGATTCCACATCTGACCCTCCAACTTCAAACCATTTCTTCTGTAATCTTAATTTCTAGAAATGGTAACTTTATTCTTCCAATTAATTATTCAGGCTAAAAATCTTGGCTTGCTCTCTCTTAACACCCATATCCAATTCAATCAAATCATGTTGACTCAAACTACAAAACATATCAGAATATGTATTTGTCTAATTTTCAGCTACTGCTCTGATCTGAATCTGATCTTTCTTTCCTGGATTATTATAATATTAGATAGAAACACACCGGGGGGAAAAAAAAGGGAACCTAAAATGGATGTATAGGGCTTCACAGTTTCAAGAATAATAAATACTTACAAAGGATAGCCATTTATGAGTTCCATGACCACTGCGTGCCGATTATAATCAACTGGCTTTGGAACGGGAAATTTTCTTTCATGCAATACCTAAAATAGCACAACAGGTATAAAATAATATAGAAGTCACTCACTTAGAGTACAATAATATAAGCATACCTGCAAACAACCAGAAAAGAAACATTTAAGTTTTTATAGACTTAGAGCTGAGGCATGGTTACTTATATTTGGTGTTTTCACTGCGGAATGAGGTGGACAAAACCCCAAATTTTGAAAGTTAATTTTGATTAACTTCCTTACCATTTATTCCTCGAACATTTACCACACGTTATGTGTATATATACTGTATACTATACAGTGTGCTGTTGTACTGTCATGTATCATCGAAGTAGAATTCACTCATAGCTGACTGTCCAATGAGTATTCAAAGGCAGTCATGGGAGCAGAGCGCCCATTTTTCTGTCACAGAGCAGCTGGTGGATTTGAACTGCATGCAGTTCATCTGGTTGGCAGTGCAACTTCTTACTACTAAGGTACCAGAGGTCCCCGTAGTGTTATTCGGTGCTATGAAAAAGAGATGTGAATCCTGCCTTATCCTGCGCCATTCTCACAATCTCTGATGTGCTCAGGTCCACTATTATAGTTACTCTGTCAATCGCTTAATTGAGGGTCTTCCTCTTTCTCTGACCCTCCACCTTTCAAGCATGATGTGTCCTTCCAAGGCCTGGCCCCTCCTGACAACATGCCCCAAGTACCTGGGACAAAGTTTCACCATCCTTGCCTCTAAGGAGCACCTTGGGTGTGCTCACTTCAAAGACAGACTTGGGGTTTGTTTTTGTTTTTTTGGCAGGCCATGGTATATTCAACACTCTTACCCAACACAACAATTCAAAAGTTATCGACTCTTCTGCTGTTATTCATTGTCCAATTTTCAGATGCATAGGAAGCAACTGAAAAATACTACAGTTTGGACCAGCCATGCTCTTTGAACTTTCATGGCTGCTCTTTAGCACTCTGGATAGGTCCTTGGGCTGCAGATTTTCCTAATGCCACAAGCCTTTTGATTTCCTGACTGCTGTTACCCTGAGTGTTGATTATGGATCCAAGTAAAATGAAATCACTGACAACTTCCATCTTTTCTCCATCTATTATGATGTTGCCTAGTAGTGGTCCAGTAGGGGGACTAGAGTTATAAAAATTCATGCAGAAAAGACTGTCTTCATGAAGCTTGCAGTCTCTTAAGATATCTTTGATGGCCTAGTGGTAGGAAGCTGTGCTGTCAACCCAAAGGCAGAGCAGTTCCAATCTACCTCTGCAGGAGACAGATGGGCAATTCCTCCTGTGCAAACTTGCTGGAGTACTAGCCATGAGTCAGTCCTGATTTACAGCTTATTTGTTTATTTTATTTTTTTACTTTGTTTCTGCCACATATTAGAGTGTGCTTAAAAAGTTCAAACTAACGTAAATTAGGACTTAGGAAATATTGTCTTTTGACAAAGGAAGTGCTGACTGCCTAGTGGTAAGGAGGTGAACTGCTCACACAAAGGTACATGGTGTGAATCCTCCAGCAGCTGCTTCATGAGAGAAAGATGGGTATTATCCTTTTGTGTGATTTACTGCCTCTGAAAACTCACTAGAGGGTTAGCTATGGGTCGGTTCTGACTTGACAGCACACAACAAAGGACCTTAGAAAATGAGGAATTCCAACAAATCACTCCTTTTCATTTATAAGTACTGACCTTTTTCTAGACTATAATAGTTTTAAACTACAAAGTGATAATCACGCCTACTGTGGTAATCTGAGCTACCATCCATGCTGTGTGCTGAATCATAGTGATCATTTTTCTCTATGTTTAATTTCTCCTGCCTCACTATCTACAAAGTCTCATTAGTTCATTTTTCGAAAGAAATTACTTTTTTTTTTTTTAAATTTTTGTGTGCATGTACCGTCAAATCGGATCTGACTGGTACAGGAGGAGACTGTCCCTCCTTCCCTGGTAGAGCATCTGGTGGATTAGAACCGTGCACCTCTGGGATTGTAGTTGCAGCTTCTTGCCACTAGGCCACCAGAGCTCCCCGAAAGAAATTACTTTTATGTTCTCTTTCATTTAGAACGTTCTCATCTCTCAATAGGCCATTGTCGTCTATGTCTGATTCCTGCAATAGGAGGAACTCGAGTGGCGTGATAATTAAGCATTGGGCTGCTAACCTAAGGGTCAATAATGAAAATGGACCAGAAGATGTTTGTAATTCAGAGACTACTTGTATATATGATTAACAAGGTCAATCTAAATAGGTTGCCTTCTCTCTTTTTGTTTCCACCTCAATGTTTTACTGAGACCAGCACTGAGGGCCATGAGACACAAGAAATCCAACTCTGTTTCCCAGAAGTCATCTACAAGATTCTCATTGTAAATGTCATCATTGTAGATAATTTGGGGTCCTCTTGTCCCGGTGACAACCCTGAGGGAGGTTCTGGACAGCCAGGGAGCCCAGATGGACTTGCCAGTGTCAGCATGGGCTGTTTGCTAACAATGCTGATTTGAGCTGTACTGATTCCACTTGGTTCCCATTAAGCTCAGCAACAGCCTGATCTGCTGACTCCATCTTTGCATAGGTAAAGGCATACTTTCTGAGTAGGTCCATGGAGAGGTGAGTAATGTCCCCAAAGGGAGAAAAGGAGGGTGGGTGTCTCGTCTGCTCTGTACACAGAGAATGTGTCTGACCTTTGGAAAGGGCCTTCTCAGTTGTGATCCCTGTTTCTGATCCCAATGATCCCTGTTCTAATCCCAATGATCTGTGTTCTGATCCCTCTCGCTCCCACTCTCTGTCTCTATCCCACATTTTGCTCTCTACTGCAGTCCTGGCTGCAACTCTGGGAAGGTGACGCTGAGGAGCGGGCATCACCACCTCCTTCATAGTCCCAGTCATAACTCTGAGAGGGGCCATCACCAGCCCCGGGACATCCTGACTCTTCCCCACCTGGCCTCAGTTCCTGAAGTCAGTCACTGGGAGACACAAAGCTCTCATACAGAAATTTCCTTTGGAGATCTCTGGCTCTCTCTTGCAGATCACTGTAGGCAGAGACACTCCTCTGGAATGGCTGCAAAGTGGGAGCTGGTCCCTTCTCTGGGTCCTTTAACTTCCCCTCCAGGGTTTGAGAACATCTGAAGCCAGATGCTGGAAGCCTGTGTTCCTGGTCTCAGCCTTTATGGCATGGATGGCTCCTGATTTCCGCAGCTGCTTGGCCTGCTCTGTTGCTGTAGCTGTGTCCACCACTGACTCCGCCTTGGCCGGCTTTGTGTTGCTACTCCTTTGCTTCTTCAGAGCCAGCAGTGATCTTTTCTTGAGTTTGTTGAGTTTCTTCTGCAGGGCCTCTTCCTCCTCCTTGCTGAGTCTGAGGGCTGTCACCAACATGGGGGCTTCTGAGAGGGTGGCAACTGGGGGCCCAGGCTGCCTTCGCTTATCTCCAAGTTTCCTTCTGAGAGAAACTGAGGTCTCCTCTCACTCACAATAATGCTTATTTGCTTTGTTTACAAAGTTTTCAATGTTTATAGTTTTAAACATACCTATGCAGCCTAACAACATAAAATATTAACTGGTAAAATCTCTCTAACCCTTGTGCTGTATCTATGTCATAAAAACTAGTTACCACAGATTCTGATTCTGGTGACCACATGCACAGTATAGAACTGTGCTCAATGAGGGTTTCAACAGCATATTTATTTTTTTTAAAAAAAGAAAATCATCAGGCCTTTCTTTGAAGATGCCTCTAGGGAGATATGAATCTTCAACTTTTTGGTTAGCAGCCAAATAAGTTAATTGTTTGCACCACCCTGAGCTTTAGTTCAATGATATTTTTTTCTCTTAGAAACATATCAATGTATTTAAAGAGTATAACCAGGTTCACTCTTGTGCCTTCATTTTAAAAGACCCTGAGACAATACTTATTACAGTTTTGGGTTTATATTGTTGTTATGTGCCATCGAGTCGCTTGCGACTCATAGCGACCCTATGTACAATAGCACTAAATTCTGCTCTGTCCTGTGCCAATCGCACTGTCTCCGACACACCAATCCCAATTACCCCAGTCACTGAATCAATCCACCTCACAGAGGGTCCTCCCCTCCTGCACTGTCCCTCCACCCTACCAAGCATGATGTCCCTCTCCAAGGGTCCCTCATTACACCATGTCCAAAGTATATTAGATGAAGCCTCAGAATGCTTGCCTCCAAAGAGCAGCCCGGTTTAATCCTCTCCAGGTTGAATCTGTTTGTTTTCCTAGCAGTCCATGGTACCCTCAATACTCTTCTCCAGCACCACAGCTCAAAGACATCATTCTTCTATCCTCCTTAGTCATTGTCCAACTCTCTGATGCATAAAAAGTGAAAGCAAAGACCACGGCCTGTATCAGACGCACCTTAGTCTCCAGAGAGACACCATTTCTCTTCAGTACTTTGGAGAGGTCCCTAACAGCAGACTTTCCCATTGCAATACGTTTTTTAGTTTCCTGGCTACTGGTGCCAAGAGTGTTGACTGTGGAGCCAAGCAAACTAAAGCTGTGAACAATCTCAAACTCTTCACCATTCATCCTGATGCTGCCAATTGGTCTGGTGGTGAGAGTCTTTGTCTTCTTGACACTGAGCCTCAATCCATATTGGAGGCTGCAGTCCTTGACCCTCTGCAGCAAGCGCTTCAGGTCCTCCTCAGTTTCAGCAAGAAGGGCTGTGTCATCTGCATAACGCAGATTGTTGATGAATCTTCCACCAATCCTAACACCACACTTCTCCTCATAGAGCCCAGCCTCCCGGATAATCTGTTCTGCATACAGGTTGAAAAAGGTCACCAAAGGGCAATTATTACATAACACCACTGTTAAAAAATAGGGCTGACATGAGGTGGGGATTGCAAGGGAATGGGGAAAGAATGGATAGATAATGAACACTGCATTAGGTCAGATAAGGGGAAGAACTATCTGAAAGGAATATATGATTATGTGTTATATTTATGAGAACATTCTGGAACAGGGAGAACATTGCAGGGTGGGCTGGGAAGGGGGAGGGGAGAGAACATTTTTTTTAAAAATGTAATATAAACCCCCCCATGATTATCCGGGGTTTATATGACCCCTTATCTGACCGAATGCAGTGTTCATTATCTATCCATTCTTTCCCCATTCCCTTGCAACCCCCACTTCATGTCAGCCCTATTTTATAACAGTGGTGTTATGTAGTAATTGCACTTCTGTGACTGAGATATTGCACTTAGCATAATGTCCTCAAGGCTTCCCCATGTGGGGTAATGTTTTACCATTTCATTGTTTTTCAATGCTGCAGAGTATTCCATTGTGTGAAAGTACTATAGTTTTCCTATCCATTCATTTGTTGTTGGGTACTTGAGTTGCTTCCATTTCTTTGCTATTGTGATTAACACAATAAACATGAGTGTGCATACAACTATTTGAGTTGTGGCTCTGGTTTCTTTAGGTATATTCCCAGTAGTGGAATTGCTGGGTCCAATGATACTTGTTTTTCCAACTTTCTAAGAAAGCAACAGACTGCCTTCCATAGTAGTTACACTATTTTACATTGCCACCAGCAGTGAATAAGGGTTCCAATCTTTCTATAAACTTGTCAACATTTGTTGTTGCTGCCCTATTGAACTTTGCTATTGTTACTAGGGTGAGATGATACCACATAGTTGCTTTGTACTTAAAGTTCTGAAGCCATATCAAACTGCCTATAATCTGAACAAACAGTGTAAGGCAAAAGCTATTCTTATAAAATAAGAAATGCAGAACATGTATGGGAACCATATTACTTACTTGTAAGAATATTCACCTCATGGTTAAAAACATCAACTTACTACCTCCTCAAAACAATTTTTCATACACTGATTTTTCCATAATGAGATAAATTATGATAAATAAATCCTACCTGGTAGGACAATAAAATACAATGTTATCTTCATTTGGATATTATCAAATATATCTAACAAATCTATTACTTTTGACCCCTTGAGCTAGAACTGAGATAATGGCACAAAAAAGAAACCACTCCTTTTGAAGGTGAAAATGAAAAATGAAAGATTTTTACCATTATTAATAGACAAATTTGCACACTGACATTTATTCTATTGTGTGAAAGTCATTATTAGATTTCTACAGATAATAATTATCTCACTTCTTCAATTAAGAAAGAGATGTATAAAAAACAGAGTAGCTCCATACTTATACACATTTATGAAGTGCTAACATCATCAGTTATTTGAGGCTACTTTATCTCACAAATTTTCTAAAATACATGTTACTTTTATGCATTTATAGCAAAAATACCTACACATATGAAAGAAATCATTAGAAAAGAAATGACAATAAAATGATTTTAAAAATACCTTCATATAAGCAAATTCCTTCATGGCAGAGAGACGAGATAAATAAAGCCAAGACATGTTGTGTCTATGTTTATGGTAATCACGCTTGTTTTTCAGATTTCGAAAGGAGGTTCTTCCTAATCTGTGAAGCTTTAATGCAAATTGATGTCCTTCTTGATTTGCAACAATATAAATATCTGGAGACAAGATTTTAAAACAAGAATTATTATTACACTTTTATTCTAATAAGTTGAAACAATTCTAGCTTCATAACTTTGATTTTATTAGTATCACATAGTATCCTGCCTTATAACTAACACCTTCAATTAGTAGAAATCATTACATGTTACTCACTTATGCTCACTCACCCATGGACTACAAGTCTGAAGTAACTCCTCCCTGGACCTCCAGCAGGTTTTCCGGAGACTAAAAAATTGCACAGGAGGAGATTACCCATCTTTGTCCTGTGAGCTTCTGCTGGATTCAAACCACCAGCAGCCTTGGGCCAGCAGCTCAACTTAAGTACTCACAACTTTAAATATAATCTCAAATAAAAAGCTGATGTATTAACATTTCTATCAAATAAAGACTAAGAAAATATACATCAAACATACACAAAAGGAAAAAGACAATGGAATAAAAAAGACTTATTACAATAACCCAGGAAACATAAAAGCAGGTTGTACTAAAGGAAGAAAAATGGGCACTCTCCTCCCATGTGATTTACTGCCTCTGAACGCTGCTGGAAGGTCAGCTATGAGTTGGTTCCAACTTGATAGTACACCACAGCATTAAAGGAAAAAGGCAAAGAAGATTTAAGAGGTATATACCTCATAATTAAGAAAATGGCACTTGTCAGTCACTTCTTATCATTAAGAACGTAAACTCACTGCTGTGGAGTTTGAAGTGACTCACAGTTGACCTTTCATTGGGTTTCCGTGGTTGTAAAAGACTGCCTAGCTTTCTTCTATGGAGCTGCTAGTGGATTCAAATGGCAAGAGAGGGGCTGCCTTTGGGTTAACACTAAAAATTCCTATAAATTTTGTCACCAGAGCTCACCTTCAGTAATTACAGTGAGTGTAAATAAGTTAAATACTCCAATCAAAAGGAAATAGCAAAAAAATTACATGCTGTTTACAAGAGGATGGCAAAAAGAAAAGACTCTATATAATAATAAATGAAAGAAGCTAAGGTGACAATCAGACAAAGGATTTTAAAGATGGACAGAACATAGTAATCATTGCTATCAAGATGATTGTGACTCGAGCTATTCGCTACCTAGTTTCCAAGGCTGCAAGTCTTTTTGGGAGGAGATTGTCTATCGTTCTCCTACAGTGTCTGGAAGATTTGAATTGAGGACCTTTTGTTTAGTAGCTCAACTAATATGTAATGTACTATACCTCCAGGGCTCCGTAGTATAATGATAATGGGGGTCAACTGTGAATACTTAACAAATAGAATTTACTGTCAGCCAATTCTTTTTGGTACAGTGACTCTCTATACTCCTTCCATCTTCTTTTAATTCTTCCTGGATCATACAATAGTCTACCCAGAGCATCCTTAAATACTTCAATTTGAAGCTAAAATTTGTTTTTTAGTTTCTTCAGCTTAAGAAATGTTGAGTGGGTATAGTCCTCTTCATTTTTGAACTCACTCCAGCTCTTTGCACTTTCCACTACAATACTTTGCTTTGTTTTCCTGTGCTGTCCTTTGTAATCTTCCATGTTTCATTGACTATGAAATGGCATTTGACTGTGTGGATCACAAAAAATTGTGGTTAACCTTGAGGATTATGGGAATCCCAGTACACCTGATTATGCTTATGTAAAATCTATACTTGGACTAGGAAGCAGTACTCAGAACAGAGCATGGTCCAAACTAGGAAGGGAGTGCATCAGGGACGTATCCTGTTTCCACAGATTTTCAATCCATATATAGAACAGATCATTCAGGAGGCTGGGATTTATGAAGAGGAACGTGGCATCAGGATTGGAGGAAGACTCATCAACAATCTACAATATGCAGATGACAAAACCTTGCTGAAACTGAGGAGGACCTAAAGTGCTTGCTGTAAAAGGTCAAGGACTGGAGTTTTCAATATGGATTGAAGTTCAACATCAAGAAGACAAAGATTCTCATCACTGGGCCAATTGGCAGCACCATGATGGAAGGAGAAGAGGGTGAGGTTGTTAACAGCTTTAGCTTGTCCAGCTTCAGAATCAACAGTCTTGGCATTAACATTCAAAAAATCAAAAGAAAAATTACACTAGGTAAGTCTGCTCTCAGGGACCTTTTCAGAGTACTGAAAAGCAACAATGTCAGTCTAGGGACACAAAGGTGTGCCTGATCTAGGTCACAGTCTTCACAATTACTTGTTATGCATCAGAGCTTGAAAAAAGAAAAATAACTAAGGGTGACAGAAGAATAATTAATGCCTTTGAGTTGTGCTGGAGAATCGTTTTGAACATACCACAGACCACCAAGAAAAGAAATAGGTCTGTCTCAGAGACCGTGAAACCAAGCTTCTCTTTGGAGGCTTGGATTTTGAAGCTCTGTCTCACAAACTTTGGGCATGTGGCCAGGAGGGACTGATCCTTGGAGAAGGACATCATGCTCAGAAGGGTGGAGGGGTAGTACAGGAAAGGAAGACGCTGGATGAGATGGATTGATACAGTAATTAGAGCAATAGGGGCAGATGTGTTGGAATCAGTGAGGCTGACTCAGGACAGAGCAGTCTTCAAAACTGTTGTACACAGGGCTACTCTTTGGGTCTCAGATGACTTAATAGCACATAATAACAATAAAATTGAAGAGAGAAATAATAATACTTGGAAAGTTGAAGAATTTAAATAATGGCCAAAATATCTAGAAAGAAGATCAACACGATAGAAGACATGAATGTCACTAAAAGCCAACAATATTTAACAGAAGTTGTATCTTTTCTCCATATCTATTACATCTGTATTGTAAGCAAATAATTTGTGAACTGGACTCTACTAAGAAGAATGAGGCATAAAAATTAGAGGAACACTCATCAAAAACCTGAGTTATGCAAATGACACAATATTGCTTGCTGAAAGTGAAGAGAACCTAAAATGCTTGCTGCAGATGATCAAAGATTATAGCCTTCATTATGGAGTACATCTCAACATAAAAAAAAAAAATAAATAAAGATCTTCACTAATAAACCAGCACTCAACATTATGAAAGACAGAGAAAGGACTGAAACTGTCAATGATTTTTATCTTACTTGGATCCACAATCAAAACCCTTAATAATAGCAGTCAGGTGACCAGGACGCTTATTGCTTTGGGCAAGTCTACTATGAGGACCTCTTCAAAATACTGAGGAGGAATTAACTGATGTCATCTGAAGACCAAGGTATGCCCAATTTAGGTCATAATCTTTTCAATCATTTGCTATGTACCTGAGGGTTGGACATTGCCTAAGGATGACAGAAGAAGAACTGATGGCTTTAAGTTGTGAATATTCCATGGACTGCCAAAAGAACAAACAGGAAGGTATGTCTGGGAAAGGGTGCAGCCAGAATGTTCCTTGGAGGCAAGGACGGTGAAGCTTCATCTCTCACACTTTGGACATGTAGTGTGCATGTGCGTGACTGAGAGGGATTTATTCCAGGACCACAGGAATGGCTCAAGATTAAACAAACAAACAAAAAATCAATAAAATTCACCAAATCAATAGAAAATGTTCATTTACTACAGATTCAGGAAAAGAATTTGATAGACTAACATCATTTGTTGATGAAAATTCTAAAGAAGACTGGAATCAAAGGGAAATGCCTTAACATTAGTTAGAGCACACATGAAAAATCAACATTATATTTAATGGAAAAAAGAGTGAGAGGATTCTTTCCTTTAAATCAAGAATAAGGAGAGTAGCTCTCATCATTTTTATTCAATAGTGCTTTAGATATTCAAGCCAGAGCAGTGAGGAAAGAAACAAGAGGTGTCTTAGACTGGAAGATAAGTAAAATCATCTCATTTGCAAATTATGATTCTACAGCCTTTAATATGAATTACATCTCAATATTAATACAAAAATTTTCACCACTAGGCCAATAGAAAGTATCATGATAGACGGAGGAAAGATTGAAATTGCCAATTATTTCATCTTACTTGGATCTACAACCAATCCTTTTAGCATTAGCAGTCAAAAAATCAAAAGATATTACATTTGAAAAGTCTGTTGCCAGGGACTTCCTTGAAAAGCAATGATGTCAGTCTGAAGACTAAGGTATGCTGATTCAGGCCATGGTCTTTTCAGTCACTGAGCTGGACAATGAATAGGCAAGACAGAAGAAAAATCAACGCCTTTAAGTTGTAATGTTAGAGGATTGTGCTGAATACCCCCTGGATTGTTAAAGGAACAGACAGATTTTGGACATGGTGCAGTTGAGTGCTCCTTAGAGGCAGAGATGGTGAAGAATACTTTGCACATGTTGTCAGGAGGGGTTATTCTATTGAAATGGATATCATGTTTGGGAAGTCAGTGAAATAGAGGAAGACCTTCAATGAGATGGACTGACAAAGTGACTGCAGCAATAGGCTCAAGTATGCCCGGGATGATGAGGATGGCTCAGAATAGACCAGGGTTCAGATTTGTTGTTCACAGGGTCACTATGAGTCATGTGCGACTCAATGGTGTAACAAAATAATAACTCTCTGAAAGTTCTGCTGGCTTAGTGATAAAGAACTGCACTGTCAACCCAAAAGCAGTCCACTGCTCTGTGGAGAACCATGGGCAGTCTCTTCCCTTGTGATTTGCCTCTGAAAATCTGCTGAAGGGTCAACTATAAGTTGGTTCCATCTTGATGGTATATAACAACATAATGACATATACAGGAGTCCACAGGAAAACATCTAAAGCTAATGGAGAAATTTAGTAAAGCTGGAGTACAAGGTCAACAAAAATCAGTAATGAGAAAAAGAGGAATTAGGGAAATAATCCATTTATAATACTATGTAAGAGAATAAAGTACCCGAGAATAATTCTAACCAGGAATGTGAAGGACTTACACCTATATATCTATGTAAATATAAACAAATGCTCATGTATCCAAGTTTACCATCAAGATTATAGAAAGGCATGTAAGATATTAATCAATGGTAGCTTAGGATAATAGCAGACTAGGAGTAAGATTTAGATTTTATTTTTTTGTACTATTGTTTGCCACCCAACATATTTCCTAAAGTATTTGTAACTGAATTTTTGTTTCATTATAATGTGCCCCTCCTATGTATTATCTCCACTTGCTTGGTTCTGCTGTAGATTGGATCTTGACTGGCCTAGTGTTAACTGTGCTATCCACCCAAAGACACTCAGTTCAAATCCACCAGCTGCCCTTCATGAGGGAGTCGGGCAATCTCCTCCCTTGTGATTTACTACCTCTGAAAACTTGGTGGGTGGGTCTGCTTGGATTCAGCTGTAACTTGATGACCCATAACAACAACATGTACATTATTAGAATCTTTTTAACAGTCCCGGAACCATTTTAGACTCATAAGCATAATTGAGATATTGCTGGGGAGGAAAAAACCCTGAGAAATCTTAATCCAAAATTTGTGTCATATACAGAGAAGATCATATACAGATGAGTTTTGTTGTATTTACCTCTCTTACCTTACTTCCTAAAGGCATTACAATCTGATTATGAATATAAAACACATACAAAGCACATTAAGTAACAGAACAACTTTCTTTGGAGTATGCTTTCTAAGAATTCTTTTACTTTTGGTTTTGTTTCTTCAATTGAAATAAATAGGATACAAAGTATAGAGGAAAAGGATACAGTAGTATTGGGATACAAAGAGTACAAAACTAGGTATAAAGAAAATCATTCTTTATCCTTTATTCCTTCTTCTACATAGAGAATGAACAGACATAAATTTGTTTCTTTTTAAACAATTTGTTTAATACTTTAAAATATTTTCCTTTCTGTGCCTTTCACATATTGTCTTGTTAATCACAATGCTGATACAAAAATACATTCACTCCCTCATATTACCTATTTCTTTTACAAATGTAAAGTTAATCAGATATGAAGTAAAAACAAATATCTGCTAAGATTTTAACATTCAAGAAAAATTAATTGTATAACTGCAGTTTTAGCCATGGACTTATGAAAAACTAACAGAAAAATTAAAGATGAATATTTTTCAAGGGAACATATACACCAAGAAAGAAAATGTTTTCAATATTACTATTAGCACTTACCTGATTCTTTGCCAACACCCATTTGGTTTCCAACAGACTCAACTACTTGTCTAGAACAAAGTGTTTTTAAAGCGAGGTAATCGTAGCCTGCATTCGTCAACCGATAGCCCTGGACAGCTAAACAAAAGAAAAGACCACCATTCATTTTTCAGTAACACTGCAAACGACCAAGAAACCTAAGTTCAATCATTGGAAGACTTAGTTCGAAAACAACACTACCAGTGTTAGGAACTCCGTATTTCTTCCTGCTGTTGCTGTTCAATGTCACTGAGATGATTTCAATGCATAGTGCCCCTATGACACAGGAGAACTGCCCCACAAGGTTTCCAAAAATTCTTTACAAAAGCCAATCGCAACATCTTTATCTCACGGAGGGACTGGTGGGTTCAAATCACTTTTTGATTAATACCTGAGCACTTAAACACTGTGTCACTGGGACTCCTTTCTACAATTTATATTTCTTTTCTAGAATACTGTAGGGAGCTCTGGTAGCTGAAAGTAAGGAGGTAAGCTGCCAATCTAAAGACCTATAGCTTGAATCCACCAACTGCTTCATGGGAGAAGGATGGACAGTCTCCTCTCATGTGATTTACAGCCTCTGAAAATCCACTGGAAGGGCAAGTTGAGTCTGTTCTGACTCCGTGGCAGATAAAAATCACAGCTATTCAGAGTGGCCTGTAGACTGAAGCCAGTCTGTAAAATGTTCCGTTACTCGTCTGTGACAAGATAACTTCAGGAAATGAATTAAAGTGTCCAGAATTTTTCATCAATTTGGCAGACTTATTTATTACTTTAGATTTTTAATAATAAACAATTTGTAGCTACTCTTTGGTAATTTTAAAATTTCATTTTCCTACTTAATTCCTTCTTATATATTTTGTATAGACCTGTGATGGGTTGGGGCGGGGGGAAACTTCACTTTTCCTCATAGATGGTTTGAGAAGTACTGATTGAGAATTTGTGGCTGGCTGCATTTTATAAAATTTATAGGAACAGTATTTTTACTTTATTCGATCTTCTACAATGCAAACTTCCTATTACTGAACAAGAAAATGGAGTGTATTTCTTCATCCTCCTTGGTTTATTAGGTCCAAGGACTGCTTTGATCAATGGAACATGGCAAGAGCATGCTGGATCACTTCTAGTTCCTGCATTTAACCAGGTCTGGCAACTTCCACATCATATCTTATCGATCACCTGCTCTTGGGGAAGCCGGTCATTTGAGAAAAATCATAGTGTCTCAAAATACTCACTTTTGGTACGCTCCCAAGCTATGAGTTTATGCTTCGCCAACTCTCTTAAAACTTTATTACATCCACCATGTTTAAGGCTGGCAATAGAAGCAATCAAACTGCAGGGAACTATTTCATGGTTCTTCATGCCCATTTCCACCTGAAATGAAAAGAATCATAATGTGATCAGTTGACACAGAGTCCTTGCCTATCAAAATCTGCTAAGAAAAATGGAACTAAACTTAAGATGGCCAAGCCTATGGTATAAATATACTGCCAAATACAGTCAGAAATGCACAACCAGGAGGGGATATAATTGATAAATGAAATGGTACCATTTAAAGATTAAATCCCTATATACAGAAAAATTTTTTTTTCCGAATAGGGTTATTGAGGGTTGTTGTTGTTGTTGTTGCTATGTACAGCAGCTCTGAACCTAGCCCTGGCCTGAGTCAGTCTCACTAATTCTGACACACCAATCCCTATTGTCCCAGGTACTGTATGAATCCATCTCATCCAGGGTCGTCCTCTCCTGCACTGTCCTTCCACCCTTTCAAGTATGATGTCCTTTTCCAAGGAATGGTTTCTCCAGGCCGAGTGCCCAAAGTATGTGAGACAGAGCTTCAAAATCCTAGCCTCCAAGGAGAAACTTAGTTTCACCCTCTCTGACTTGGAAAAAACCCCCACCAAAACCAACAACCAACTATTTAGCAAGGCCATCTCAGACAAGGGTCTCTTAATAAAAGTTTATAGAATAATAATACATGGTCTCTACAAGAAAAAGACCAATAACCCAAATACAAAATGAGCAAAAGACATGGAAAGGCTTTTCACATTGGAAGACATCAGGGTGGCCAACAGAGACATTAGGGAATGTTCAAACTCACTGTCAATAAGAGAGATGTAAATCAAAACCACAATGAGATATCATCTTAACCCAGTAACAGTGGTAAAGTTTAAAAGGACAGAAAGTAATAAATGTTGGAAAGGATGTGGAGAGACTGGAATTCTCATACACTATTAGTGGGATTTTAAAATGGTATAACCTCTCCGGAAAGCAGTTTGGCATTTCCCCAAAAAGATGACTAGAGAAATTCCATAAGATCCAGTTACTGTACTGCTAGGAATATACCCCAAGGAAATTAGAACAGAGACATAAATGGAGATTCGTATACCAATGTTCTCAGCAACGTTATTCATAATAGCAAGAACATGGAAACATCCCAAATGTCCAACAATAAACAAATGGTTTGAGAAATTGTGGTACATTCAAAAAATGGAATACCAATGTAGCACTCATGAGCAATAATTTTAAAAAAATACTATATATCAAGGTAGAGAGACTGGAGAGCATTATATTTTGCTAAGTGAACAAACTCAGTCTCATAAGGACAAATATGCATTAAGACCATTATTGTAAAAATAGATAATTAGTAAAATGTGTAAGGAAGCTGAGGGTGAGCAAAGAAGAAGTCACAGGGTTGCACAATTTGGTGGGCAGAGGGAGGAGGTGAAGGAAATGAGAAAGATCCAGTAGGGACCTGAAAAGAAAGAATGGTAGGCATGGCTCAATGGTGATTAATTTTGTAAAACATAACGCATTGGAATGATTGTATGAAAACAATGTGAATGAAGAATGGTGTGAAAGACAATGCATATGAATTTTGTATTCAAATCAATAATGCAAAACCTTGCTAAGAAATGAACTCTGCTTGAAATTTCTCTAGCCATGGATTTCCCCAACCAATTCTGAGGCACAATTAGTATCTCTTTTGAATTTATTTAAAATCACTATTTGATACATTTTGGGGGCATGTTGTTAGGAGGGGCTATTCCTTGGAAAAGGACAAGATGCTTGGAAGGCTAGAGGGTCAGTGAAGGAGAGGAAGACCTTCAGCCAGGTGCACTCACCCAGTGACTGCTGCAATGGGCTCTAGTGTGTCAGGAAGTGTGAAGATGGCACAGGATAGGACAGGGTTCATTCAAATGTTTCCCATGGGTCATTATGAGTCATACTTGACTGGATGGCAACTAACAACAACAACAACAACAACAACAACAACAATTTGATATATAATTACTGATATTCATATTATCTCCCTGCGCCTTTGAACTATGATGTTGGAGAAGAATACTGAATATCCCATGAACAGCTAAAAAAGTAAACAGATGTGTCTTGGAGAAGTTACAGCCCGAGTGCTCCTTGGAGGCAAAGATGATAAAACTTCATCTCACATACTTTGGGCATGATGGCAGAAGAGGCTAGAAGGTGGTAGAAGAGACAGACATTATGCTTTGAAAAGTGGAGGGACTGTGAAAGAGAGGTAGACCTTCAACCAGGTGGACTGACACAGTGACTGCTGCATTGGGCTCGAGTGTGTCAAGAGATTGTGAGGATGACACAGGCTAGAGTATGGTTCAGATCTATTGTCAAAGGGTTGCCTGGACTAATTTTCTACTCAACGACACCTAACAACAGGTATAACAATTTCAAAGGTGTTTTCAGTCGCAGTCTCCTCCATAAAGATTTACAGCCCTGAAGGAATGTTGCTTGAGTTAGAAATAACTTGTGGGCTGGGGACTTCTGGTTGCTAATTTATTGAGGCTCAATATCAAGAAGAGAAAGGTTCTCACCACTGGGCCAGTTGGCAGCATCAGGATGAATGGTGAAGAGATTGAGATTGTTCACAGCTTCAGTTTGTTTGGCTTCACATTCAACACTCTTGGCACCAGCAGCCAGGAAATTAAAAAACATATTGTGATGGGAAAGTCTGCTGTTAGGGACCTCTCCAAAGTACTGAAGAGCAATGGTGTCTCTCTGGGGACTAAGGTGCACCTGATACAGGCCATGGTCTTCGCAATCACTTGTTATGCATCAGAAAGTTGGACAATGACTAAGGAGGATAGAAGGAGAATTGATGCCTTTGAGCTGTGGAGCTGGAGAAGAGTACTGAGTGTACCATGGACTGCTAGGAAAACAAACATTCATTCTGGAAAAGGTTAAACCAGATGGCTCCTTCGAGGCAAGGATTCTGGGGCTTCATCTAACATACTTTGGACATGTTTTAAGGAGGGACCGGTCCTTGGAGAGGGACATCATGCTTGGTAGGGTGGAGGGGCAGCGCAGGAGGGGAAGGCCCTCTATGAGGTGGACTGATTCAGTGACTGGGGTAATTGGGATGGGTGTACTGGAGATGGTGCGATTGGCACAAGACAGAGCGGAGTTTAGGGCTGTTGTACATAGGGTTGCTATGAGTTGCAAGAGACTCGACAGCACATAACAACAACAACAACATATACACACACATATATAAATGAAGTAGGATGGGAGGAACAATTAACAAACTGTCCAGATAAGACAACCCTACTTGTTTAAAGTGAAGAGGACTTGAAGCAATCACTGAAGAGGATCAAAGAGTACAATCTTCAGTGTGGCATTTATCTCAACACAAAGAAAACAAATATCCTTACAAATGGATCAATAAGCAAAATGATCATAAATATAAGAAAACAATGAAGTTGTTAAGGATTTAATTTTACTTGGACCCATAATCAGCACCCACGAAAGCAGAACTTGAAAAAGAAATGTATTGCAGTCAGCACATTTGCTGTAAGTCTTCTTTTAAGTGGTTAAAAAAGCCATGATGTCTCTGAGAACTAAAATACACCTGACTCAAGTTAGGGTACTATAGCTATCAGAAAAGACTATAAAAACAATAAAATGGTTTAAGATCAGGAAAAAAAAATAAATAAAGGAGGAGACTATGAAACTTGCATTACAATGGAAAGAAGCCAAAACAAAGGGAAGAAAAAGACATGAACAATTTTAAAGGCAGATTGAGAAGAGAAAATAAAGTATTATAATAAATGTGCAAAGAGAAAAACCAAAAGGGAGGAACATGGTTAGCATTTCTTAAGTTGAAAGAACTGAAAAACTCAAGCCTTGAACTGCAATGCTCAAGGATTTTATGGGCAAAATTTTGAATGATGCAGGATGTATTAAAAGATGAAGGAATACACAGTCATTGTTGTAAAAACAATTGGTCAATACTGAACCATTTCAGGAAGTAGCATATGATGAAGAGCCTATGGTGATGAAGGAAGAAGTTCAAGCTGCACTATCATCAAAAAAAGGAAGCAGGAATTGATGGAATACCAACTGAGATGTTTCAATAAACAGATGCTACCAGGATGTGCTCTTAGTCTATGTCACAAAATTTGGAAACAACTACCTGGCCAACTGACTAGAAGAGAATCATATCTGATCTCACTCCAAAAAAGGCAATCCCATATGTTGTTGTTGTTGTTGTTATGTGCCGTCGAGTCACTTGCAACTCATAGTGACCCTATGTACAACAGCCCTAAACTCGGCTCTGTCCTGTGCCAATCACACCGTCTCCGACACACCCATCCCGATTACCCCAACCACAGAATCAATCCACCTCATAGGGGGCCTTCCCCTTCTGCACTGTCCCTCCACCCTCCCAAGCATGATTTCCCTCTCCAAGGACCTGTCCCTCCTTGCAACATGACCAAAGTATGTCAGACAGAGCCTTAGAATCCTTGCCTCCAAGGAGCAGCCCGGTTTGACCCTTTCCAGAATGAATCTGTTTGTTTTCCTAGCAGTATATGGTACACTCAATACTCTTCTCCAGCACCACAGCTCAAAGGCATCAATTCTCCTTCTATCCTCCGTAGTCACTGTCCAATTCTCTGATGCATAACAAGTGATAGCAAAGACCATGGCCTGTAACAGGTGCACCTTAGTCTCCAAAGAGACATCATTGCTCTTGAGAACTTTGGAGAGGTCCCTAATAGCAGACTTTCCCATCGCAATACATCTTCTAATTTCCTGGCTGCTGGTGCCGAGAATGTTGAGTGTGGAGCCAAGCAAACTGAAGCTGTGAACAAACTCAATCACTTCATCATCCATCCTGATGCTGCCAATCGGCCCAGTGGTGAGAATCTTTGTCTTCTTGACACTGAGCCTCAATCCATATTGGAGGCTGCAGCCCTTGACCCTCTGCAGCAAGTACTTCAGGTCCTCCTCAGTTTCAGCAAGCAGGGTTGTGTCATCTGCATAACACAGATTGTTAATAGATCTTCCACCAATCTTGACCCCACATATCTCCTAATAGAGCCCAGCCTCCCGGATAATCTGTTCTGCATACAGGTTGAAAAGGTATGGAGATAGGATGCATCCTTGGTGTATGCCCTTCCCAATTTTGAACCATGCCGTGTTCCCTTGCTCTGTTCTGACAACTGCCTCCTGGTCCAAGTATAGGTTTCACATTAGAACGATCAAGTGTTCTGGGATTCCCATTCTTCTCAGAGTCAGCCACAGTTCGTTATGATCCACACAGTCAAACGCCTTTGCATAGTCAATGAAACAAAGATAGACATTCCACTGGTATTCTCTGCTTTCAGCTAAGATCCATCTAAGCAATCCCACATAGTATTGAAATTATCAAACAATAACATTAATAACACATGCAAGTAAAATCTTGCGGAAAATTATTTTAAAAATGTCTGGAACAGCATAGACAGCGAGCTTCTACAAATTCAAGCAGGAATCAGAAGAGGCTGAGAAACATCATTGCCAGTATCAGATGGATCTAGGTTGAAAGCAGAGAATACCAGAAAGATGTTTATTTGTGTTGTATTAACTATGCAACAAATTATGGTTAATACTAAAACCAACAGGAATCTCAGAACACTATATTGTGCTCATGCCAAACATCTACATAGACCACAAAGCAGGTGTCTGAACAGAATAAGAGAACACTGCATGGTTTAAAAACAAGAAAAGTGTACTTAAGGGTTGAGTCTTTTCTCTATACTTAATCAAACTGTATGCTGAACGATTAAGTAGTTCAAGAAGCTCCTCTCTATAAAGAAGAATGTGGTATCAGGACTGGAGAAAGACTCATTAATAGTCTGTCTTACACAGATGACACAATCTTGCTTATGGTATGTAAAGAAGACTGAAGCACTTATTGCAGAAGTTCAAAGATTATAGCTTTCAATATGGGTTACATTTCAACATTAAGAAAATAAAATTCTTCACTCCTAGACCAATAGGCAATATCATGACATACGGAGGAAAAAAACTGAAGTTGTCAATGATTTCATTTTGTTGTCCAAGGACTTCTTTAAAGTGCTAAATAATAAGGCTACCAATCATAGTATTTTCAATTGCTCTGCATAATCTGAAAACTGGACAATGAATAAAGATAACTGAAGAACTGATGCCTTTGAATTGTGTTGTTGGCAAAGAACATGGATGATTTAAAATCAGGAAAAGTGTATGTCAGGGTTGTAGCCTTTCACCACACCTATTCAATCTGTACTTGAGCAAATAATTGGAGAAGCTGGCTTCTATTATGGCATCTAATATCTACATATACAAACCAGGATATAGTGTGGTGTGTTATTTTACTTGTTGGGCTGCTAATCAAAAGTCTGGCAGTTCAAATTCACACAATTCACTGTAAGGAAGCAAAATAGGCAATCCCCTCCCAAAAGATTTACAACCTTGGAAACCACATGGAAGGGTTTGAGTTGGAACTGACTACCCAGCAGTGGGCATATGTATGTGAAAGCTAGACAATGAAAGAGTGGAAGGGTGAAAAAGAACTGATGCATCTGAAATTTGGTGCTGATGAAGAATAGTGACTATGCCAAGGACTGCCAGAATAAGGAACAAATTTATCTTGAAAATGTACAGACACCCAGGGAATGCCTTAAAAGCAAGGATGGTAAGTCTTTGTCTCACTTATTTTAGACATTCTATTAAGAGGGTCCAGTCCTTGGAGATGGACATTATACTGGGTAAAGCTGTTGTTGTGATGCACTATCAAGTCGACAGCAACTCATAGCGATGCTATGTACAAGAGCTCTGAACCCTGCACTATGCTCAGCCAATCTCACTGTCTCCAACACACCAACCTCATTACCCCAGTTACTGTATCCATCTCATTCAGGGTCTTCCTCTCCTGTGCTATCCCTCAATGCTTCCAAGCATGATGTCCCTGTGCAAGGACTGGTCTTTCCTGACAACATGTCCAAAGTATGTGAGATGGAGTGTCAAAATCCTTGCTTCCAAGGAGCAGCCTAGTTTCACCCTCTCCATGATATATTCAATATTCATCCCTAGCACCACAACTCAAGTGCATTGATTTTTCTTCTGTCATCCTTAGTCACTGTTCAGCTCTCTGATGCACAGCAAGTAATTGTGAAGAACATGACCTGGATCAGGCACACCTTAGTCTCTAGATTGGCATCATTGCTCTTCAGCACTCTGGAGAGGTTCCTGACAGCAGATTTTCCTAAGGCAATTTGTCTTTGATTTCCTGACTGCTAGTGCCAAGAATACTGATTGTGGAACCAAGCAAGCTGGAATTTGATTTCTTGACTACTATGTTTGATTACATTGTTGTAGACATTGTGTCAATCAACCTTGTGGAGGTTTTGCCTCTTTTATACTAATCTACTCCATCAAGTCTAGTCTAATTTAGATTCGTGTAGAGCAACTGAATGTATGAGATGAGAAAGAAAATGAGTTCAAAAATTTTATACTGACTATGCATTTGATAGTATACTGCTTAAGACTTTTTTTTCAAAAACCAAACATGAAATCTTAAAAGAATCAGTGCAACTCATATAACCCCAATTATGTAATTTTATACACAAGCTTTTGTCATTTTTCTGTTTTATGTAATTTAGTATATTTAATCCATCAAATGGCTATTGTGCTAGCAAAGCAAGGTTTACAATTAAGAAAGGAGTGTGACAAGTTTGTATCCTTTTTTCATATCTATTCAATCTCTATGCTGAGCAAATTACTTGAGAAGCTGGACTCTGAAAAAGAAAGCATCAAGATTGAAGAAAGACTCATCAATAACCTGTGTCAACACAGTTGACACAATCTTGTTTGCTGGAAGGGAGGAGGACTTGAAGCACTTGTTGCACAAAATCAAAGACTACAGCTTTCAATGTGGATTGCACCTGAATGTCAGGAAAACAAAAATTCTTATGATTTGACTGATAGGCCACAACATGATAGATGGACAAAAGATTAAAACTCTCACCAATTTCATCTTAGTTAGATCCATAATCAACACCCCTGTTAACAGCAGTCAGAAAATCAAGAGACGTACTGCACTGAGAAAATCTACAGTCAGGGACCTCTCTAAGTTATTGAGGAGTAATGATGTCAGTTTGAGGGCTAATGTGTATCTGATTCAGGCTGTGTCTTTCTGATCATTTGCTTTGTGTCTGAGAGCTAGACAGTGAATAAGGAAGATGGAAGAAGAACTGATATCTTTGAACCGTGGTGTTGAATAGTGCTGAATATCCCATAGACTTTCAAAAGAACAAACAGATGTCTTAGAGAAAGTGCAGCAAGAGTGCTCCTTGGAGCCAAGAATGATAAAGCTTCATCTTTCATACTTTGGGTATGTTCTTAGGAGAGGTTATTACTTGGAGAGGGACATCATGCTTGGGAAGGGGTAGGATGGATAAAAGAGAAGACCCTCAACCAGATAGATTGACACAATGACAGCTGCAATGCGCTCCAGGGTGTCCAAAATTGTGAATGGCACAGGGTAGGAGAGAGTTCAGGTCATGGGGTCACTATCGGTAGTACTTGACTTGTTGGCGCCTAACAACAATCCCACCTTTAGAATACTGAACATTCCTTACAAAGTTTGCAAATCTCTATAATGCATGATTTGGATATTACTTTTTCTACCAACATATCCAACCATTGGGACTCTCGCTCAACAAGCTCCAGGGGCACTGGGCTTTCCTATTATTTAAACATTCCAAGGTAGTTACTGTCTCAGGACCACTGCACTTGTTACTTCTAAACCTCTAATAATGTTCCAGTATCTTCACTGCGCACCCTCCCCTCCTTTTGCACTTATGCTTTCATGCAGCTAATGCGTAAGTGCCTATGAGTTTTGCTATACCATTTACAGACAGGTTTGTTATGTGTCAGATCCTAACACCAACAACAATCAAGTGCTAGGTACTTTCATTTTTAAAGATATTTCTGACTGCATTAATAAGAACAGATTTTGGTTACAAACATAATCAAAGGTTAGTTACTCTTAGGAATACTTCCTTGACCACTCCATTTAAAGATGATAATTTGACACCCCCCCCCTTATGCAGTCCTTTATTCTAGTCATCATCTTTACCTCACTTATTATTTTGCTTTCCAATTCGTTTGTTGACCTACGATCTGGGTCTCCTTCCTATCTGGCTGCCAGTTTAATTCTCTTTAAATAGCGATACGGATAACCCGACAAATGTGTTGACTTCGTCAACCACAACTGAATGGAAAAGGCACCCTTTATAAACGAACACAATGCTACCTCTGGTGAATGTCCTCGTGAGGCGTATTAAATCCTTCCCACAGCTCTGAAGTCCCGAGACAGGACAGCTTCCCGGGTCACAGATGAATACGGCTGCTTTGACAGCAAGGTGAAGGGGAGCACTAACATTGAAATGAGAGTTTTTGTTTGCAGGGAAGTTATGTTCCCAAGCTATAGCGATTCTTCAGCATTCTAACTTAGATCCTGCTTCCCCCATTCCCAGCCTCCCTGGCACTCCTAGGCCAAGGATTCAGCCCACAGCAAAGGTTTAGGAACATGAACAGGGCGCATCGCAGGAAATGACAAAAAGAAAAAGAAAAAAAAAAGCTGTACTTCTTACCGCAGTCAGGACTCTGAAGTCATCCCGGCTCATGTATCGCAACTTAGTCACATTCACCTTCCCCATGTCGGCAGAACCAAGACGAGAGCAGGTTTGAACTACAGACACCCTTCACGTGCCTTACCACCACCGATGCTGGCGCATGCGTCGCGGTTCTTGCCAAACCACCACCGATGCTCGCGCATGCGTCGCGGTTCTTACAGGTCCTTGTTGGTAAGACACTGTATTCTGCTTGCCTGGGCAAGTAAAACAGTAGGTGTGTTTTATGGAGGATTTTGCAAAGAAAGAAAAAGAGGAGGTTTTTTTTTACAAGTAATTTCTCCCCCGTCACTGCGTTAGAGAATTTAAAAGGTTTTCTACAAAGTGAGGAGTTTTTTTCTCTGTCAGGACTGCTGCTTATAAACCACCGGGGACTCTAGTAACTAAATGAAGGAAGAGGCAAATTTCAGCTACACACCACAGCTCCTACTTTATACAAAGAGACGTCCTACAAGAGAGATGGGAAATGAACATGGAAAAATCTCAGGACATTGCTGGATGTTAAAAAGTAAGGCTCACGGTACCTGAATACCCTTATTATTCCTAACTGCGCATGCTCACGTCAGGGAAAGGCGTGGTTAAAGAAGGCGCTATGCGCATGCTTCCTCTTTTCAATGTTCAATAAGAGGTACTGTCCTCGCAGCGCGACTTAGACTGGTGATGATTGGTGTGAGCGGTTGGCCTTGTTGGCTCAGAAGCATCCCTTAGTGAAAGTCCACCAGCTCCTCTGCGGAGAAAGACAATTTCTTCCCATGAAATTTATTCTTAGTTGCTCTGGAGTTGTGTACTACCCATTGTTGTTGATTGCCTTTCAGTCCAACACGACTCATAGCAACCGTTATCTATGAACAAAAGTCCGGAAACCTTTCTATCACTACATTTATCAAAGTTCTTAGAGTTTCCGGAGCCATGTTGTTTAGGAAGAGGATGTCACACACAGCGACCTTAAGAACAAAGATCTGAAACCTATGCTACCTATCCTGAGCCATGCTCATCATCTCTGGCATGTCCCTGTGTGAATTCTTCTGTTGTTTTACATTTTTTTTTTGAGATTACCTTTCCAGTCAGTTGACCAGGGACTTGTCCTCCAAATTTTCTAGGATAGACTGATGCGCCTGTCCATGGTTGTCTCTCAGTGAAAATATGTCACTTGGTAACCCAATTCCTGTAGCCTTATTTTGGGCCACTGCTTTCAACGCAGCTTGAACTTTTTATTACTATTGGCTCTTGTTCATATGATACTTACTGGAATTATTCTGTGTCGGCCAGTTCTTTTTAGTACAGTGACTCTTTGTATTCCTTCCATCTTCTTTTGATGCTTCTTGGATCATTTAAGATCTTGCCCATAGCATCTCTCAGTATTACAACTAGAGGTTTAAATTTGTTTTTCCATTCTTGCAGCCTAAGAAATGTCTAGAGACATTCTTTTTATTCTCCAATTCTAGCTCTTTGAACATTTTATTTATAATATTTTGCTTTGTCTTCTCAAGCTATCCTTTGAAATCTTCTGTTCATCTCTTTTATTTCAACATATCTTCCCTTTCTTGGGCTTCTTGATGCTCAAATACAATTTGCTGAGGCTTTTCTGACATTTGTTTTGGTTTTTACTTTCTCCTCTGTCTTTGTAATGACCTTTTGCTTTCTTCATGGATGATATCCTTGATGCCATCCCACAGCTCTCTGGTCTTCAGTCATTCAATGTTCTTGAGCTGACTTTTAAATTCAAGTGGGAAAGATTCACGGTCTTACTTTGGTTCGTGTGGTCTTGTTTTGATTTTCTTCAGCTTCAATTTAAACTTGCACATGAGTAATTGAGGGCCTGTTCCAATGTTAGTGCCTGGACTGGTTTTGACTGTTGATGTTGAACAAGACCACTGATTCTTTCTGCAAACATAGTTATTATGATTCCTGTGAAGTCTGTTAGGTAAGGGCTATGTGTAAAGTCACCTTTTGTGTTTTTTTAAAAAGGACTTCTTGTTATGTGCCATCGAGTCAAGTACAAATAATAGTGACCCTATGAATAGCCAACCTGAACCCTGCCATATCCTGTTTCATCCACAACACTGGAGGTTGTTATTTAATCTTACTCTAATCCTGATACCAAGTCTGATGTTGTTGTTGGGTGCTGTTGAGTCTGGTAAGACTCAAGGCAACCCTATGAACAACAAATCTGAATCCTGTCCTATCCTGTGCCATCCTCACACTTTTGACACACTAGAGCCCCATTGTGGAAATGTAGTATAGTCTAAGATTGCAGATTATTTACTCAGCATAGAGATTGACTAAGTATGGTGAAGGGGTACAAGTCTGACACCCTCCTTTCCTGATTTAAAAGTCTACGATGTTCCCTTGTTCTGTTTGAGCAAGTGCTTATTGGTCTGTACAGTTTCTCTTGAGTGAATTGATTCCTTACAATATTTTCAATTATTTTTTTAATCATGCTAGTGTGAAACCTATACTTGGACCAAGAGGCAGTCGTCAGACCAGAGCAAGGAAACACTGCATGGTTCAAAACTGGGAAGGATGTATGCCATAGATGTGTCCTATCTCCATAAACCTTTTCAACCTATATGCAGAACAGATTATCCGGAAGACTGGGAACTAAGTACAGAAGTGTAGCATCAGGATTGGTGAAGATTCATCAACAGTCTGCGTTATGCAGATGACAACCCTGAAGGAGGACCTGAAGCGCTTGATGTAGAAGGTCAAGGACTGAATATGGATTGAAACTCAACATCAAGAAAACAAAGATTCTCACCACTGGGCCAATTGACAGCATCAGTATGGATGGTGAAGAGATTGAAATAATTAACAGTTTTAGTTTGCTTGGCTTTCCAGTCTACACTCTTGGTACCAGCAGCCAGGAAATCAAGACACGAATTACATTGGGAAAGTCAGCTATCAGGGACCTCTCCAGAGTACTGAAGGACAATGACATCAGGCTGGAGACTAAGGTGTGCCTTATATAGGCCCTCGTCTTTACAATCGATTGCTATGCATCAGAGAGCTGGACAAAGGCTAGGGAGGATAGAAGGAGAATTGATGCCTTTGAGCTGTGGTGCTGGAGAGGACTATTGAATATACCATGGACTGCTAAGACCAACTGCTCCTTGAAGGCAAGGATTCTGAAGCTTAGTCTGACATACATTGGACATGTTGCAAGGAGGGACCAGTCCTTGGACAAGGATGCCATGCTTGGGAGGGTGGAGGGACAGCACAGTAGAGGAAGACTCTTTATGAGTTGATTGATTCAGTGACTGGGGCAATGGGGGGAGGTGTGTCGGAGACATGACATTGGCGTGGGACAGAATAGGGTTTAGGGCTGTTGTATATAGGGTCGCTATGTGTCACAAGTGACTCGTTGGCACAAAACAACAACAATGACCAGATATATTTAGTTATATTTATTTAGTGCTAATGATTGGCAGTGTAAGACTTCTAGTGATGTGAACTGGGCTAGAAGATCAGAGTGTAACATGTGCAGTCCTCCAAAATATTCTAAGTTAGAAGAAAGAACAGATTATGGTGGTGGTTTTAATGAAAGAGAAAATGTTGAGTACATAGAAAGAGAAGAATATGATGGTGAATATGATGAGGTTAGATGTAAAAAGAAAAGTATACAGAGGGAAAACATCTAAAGGAAGTTGAAAATAAGGAATCAGAGAGAGAAAAAGAGGATAGGGATGAAGATATTTCTAAATATAAATTAGATGAGGATGAAGATCATGCAAATCTCTCAAAATATAATCTTGGTGCCAGTGAAGAAGATAGTAATAAAAAGAAATCCAATAGACAAAGTTTCTCAATGTCTCTATCTTTACATTCACCATCATGATGTTGATCCTACCCCCTCAAATTCAAGTTCTAGGTCCAGATCCCATTCAAGAAGTTCTTCCAGTTTGCAGTCAAGATCTCATTCCATTTCCAGGGAACATTTGAGATATCGTGGGTCTAAATAAAGATAGAACTCCACAGAGGCTCTTCTTCCCCATGAAAAAGATATTATTCAAGTTAGTCATCTTTTCCTGAGAGGAACAGAAAGAGAAGTCATTCTAGATCTTCATCTAAACTTCACAAAAAAAAAAAAAAACCCCAACCAAAAAAAAACCCCCCCGCCAAACAAACAAATCAAAACAAAAACCGAACAAGATCATTTTTACCTGAAAGGTGATTGGTGAAAACACTAAACAAACCTGAGCCCAGGGCCAAACCCTACGGAATACCACTACCTTACTCAGGTGCCACAGGTCATCTTCTGGATCATTTCATTCTGGTTCTTGTTCCAGTTCAAAAAAAAAATAATGTACTAAAATTTGCATTGTTTTTTTATGAAGGAAAGAAATCGGAACCATGCATGAAACATCTTTTTTAAGAAGTTGATGTCTTACTTGGTCAGAAGTGCTGATCTGCTAGAAGAGGTGCATGCCTTTCATCTCTCTTCAAAACAATATAGCTGTGTTTATTTACAAATGTAAATGGCATTTTAAGCCATATTGTCCCAGAATAGATGCTCTATATAGCATTGATAAAATTAAAAAAATTGCTTTCTTCAAAGCCATTTCAGCTATAACAAACATACTTTGTTTCCTAATTTGGGCTATTTTGTTTCCAAACATTTCAAGTTTATTGAATAAGTAGAATTCATAGGCTTCTGTGAACTTTGGTGGGGAGGCAAAGAGGGATAGAGTAATTGGAAAGAGGTTGGGGAAATAACTTTTTGTTCATTTTAATTGGAAGCAGGAGTGGCATCCACTTCCTAAACAAGCCTCAGGAAACTCTATGAACTTTGATAAATGATGATAGTTATAGAAAGGCTTCAGGTCTTTTGTTCATAGGGTCACTATGAGTCATGCTCAACTCGATAGCAATTAACAACAACAACAACCTGTTGTATGATTTTGAATAATCAGTATAAACCAGATAAAGAGTTTTCTGATATTCTCTGCATTCAGCCACTATCCATCTAATGGAAACAATGATTATTTCCTTTCATGTCTTCATCTGAACCTGACTTGAGTTTCTTACAG